TATATATATATATATACATATATATATATATTATTTTTATTTCGAACAATAATGATTCGAACACGAACGAACGCATTACTGTTCGTGTTTGGTTCGTTTAGGAAACCGAACGAAAAAAAATATTCGTGTTCGTCTCGTTTGCTTATCGAACGAATCGAACACGAACGCTCTGACAAATCGAACACGAACTGTTCGCAAACAACCAGCTTTTTTGACAGCCCTACCTTATCATGCATATGGCCATCAGAATCTCAGCCAATGCTAAGTTTGGATCCTTAGGCCCTTTGATAAATCATTAATCATGACAAGTGCACGATGGCCGAACATGATTTTAAAAATTGCATGATTTGATTCTCCAACATGAAAAAAACAATATTTTGTAATATTTAAAAATGCCGTCGTACACATTGATTTTAACTTTTATGCCTGCAAACTCGACAACTGGCACGAGTGAATACACTTTTGTAAGTGCCTGCATAACATATTTTAATCGTTTGGAGAGAGAACTCAAATTAAAATAATACTATTAGAAGCCAATAAGCATTTGTGGGTGCATAATAGAATACGCTGTCCGATCTATAGTCTTCATCAGAATAAATATGTATTTCGATAAGTCACATTTTTAATTTTTTTTTTACGGTGAAAATTAGCGTCGTATATATTTTTGCATATATTGTCCGTATGAAATAATTTTTTTTTGCATACAGACACCAAATCTAAAGCATAGCAAAAAATTTTCCACTTGATAAAATGTTCGAGTTATAAACTTAAAAATTTTTTCTTTTCTAACATAATAAAATTAAGAAAAGTATAAAGCAATTTTAATTATTATTTGAATATTAATAGATTATAAATAGTATACTTTAAACCCATTCTTTTGATCTCCTCTGATTAAATCAGGTTACCTAAAATCATCATTAATAAATACATTTTATCCTTTGAATGCATAAATAAATTCTAGTTAAGCTTACTTCAAATACATTTTTTAAAAGTAAATAATGACAGTAAAAAAAATAATAATAATACGTCACAGTTACATACATACCGCCCAATTCCAATTTATTAACATATTTAACACCTAGATTTTACTTTTTAGATTTATAACACCCAATTCTTCAAAAAATATCACAATCTAACTTTTAAAAATGAATTTCATGCAGAGGCAACATGCTATGCATGTAAAACTTAAAATTTATAAGTGTTAGACATGTAAATACATAAGAATTGAGTGTTATGAATGTAAATCTTCCTAATAATATTTATTCCCTCATATTATATCTGCAGCTACAATAAAAAAAGAAAGAATAACGAGCATATGAACATATGTAAATCACGCTGATCTTTGATAATGATAAATCAGAACAATTATTAATTCAAATTTAGCCCCAACAAGAAATTATTTTTAAATTCAATTGAAATCAATTGGCACTTTGGCATGATTCAAGTGTGTGTGTGTATTTCCAGGAAAAAAGGTAGCAGTCTTTAGAATAATACGCGGAACCAAATATAAATAAAATAGCTACCTAACACAAGCAATGATGAGTGCTATGGAATAAGCGTACAAGCAACTAGTGATACCGACGCTCACATTCATCTCACTAAAACCTTTAAACAAGAAAGACTTGGTATGTGTCAATTCTGCTGACAAACATGTCCATTCCTGTGTTATCAAAATGACAACACTAAACACTAGTTATCAATAAAGTCAAAGGTAGAACTGTAAAATATATTCACAACATTTGTTATGTAACTTTTGTTTTTTTTAAAAGTGTCAAATGATCCTCGGACTCTTTGAAAGGGTCAATTTAATCCCAGTTTACAGAAATATCAAATCAATTCTCCAACTCTTTAATATGGATTGAAATAGTTCTCGAGAGTTAATTTAGCACTTTTATAAATTCTGGGACTAAAATAGTCCCATGTAAATAATCAGGAGACTATTTTGGCACTTAGTTTTTTTTTTTTTTATATATAATAAAAACATTATAAATTGCAGAATGGTGTACAGACAAGAAGCAGCATAAATAGCAGCTTAGCTCGACACGTACTTCCACCACTTGTACAGACCAAAGCAATAGATTGCTGAAAGCAACGCAACCCGTAATGGATGGAACTTAAACCTGTCCGGAGAAAACAATGACAATTATTATAACATGTGCTTTTACATCACTTCGCAAACATTATAATATGCAATTATTTTATAAAGAAATACGAGGAAAACAAAGAATTAATAGTGCAAGCAATATGTAGAAAGATCTGGTCAAAACAAAAAATTACCAAACTATTATGTACAAGAAGCCAAATAAGATGAGCAAGCCAAGTCATAAACAGTGCAGCTTATATTTAATTATATCCACATTTGTTACGTTCAAGCAATTGTTGGGTTTGCACTCTTGGAAATATAAAAAACAGGCACAAACTGCGTCGTGATTTGCAAGCAATTGCAGCGATGTTGCATTCAATGATTTGGGTGTTGAAAAGGCTGAATAGAGGAAAAGAATCCTCGGAGAGAACTCCATCCTTCCAATTGTCGAGCTAATAATTAAGGGGGCATTTACATAAGCACCACACAATTTTTATGTATTTACATATCTAACACCCAAACTTTGATCTTTACATGCATATCACTAAAATCTTTATCATCACATCAAGAATATCACTATCATCTATTTTTAAAAGTGAGATACACCTCTGCATGCATAGGTTTATCACACCAAAGAGTTATAAATGCAAGCACAAAAGTATAGGTGCCAGATATGTAAATACATAGGAATTGTGTGCTATTATGTAAATTTTCTAATAATTAATAGGAGCATTTTGGTTGGATTATATGGGGTCCAACAGATGGATGCGATGGAAGAGGGGGAAAAAATGCAGTGATACAATATTTGGTTGATGTATGATTGAAGTAATTTGACTTGATAATGTCAATATAGACCAGAGATACCAAAAGTATACGCTTACCTGCATCCTACAATTGGACACCAATAAATATTCTCCATAAATATGGCAAATAAATGCATGGGAGTAAAACTCTTCAAGACTACAGAGGGATGGAGGCGGTTTTTGTCTCCATTTTTTTACAAACAAACAAAAATAGAAATTACTTACAAGGGGTCAACAGACTATATGAAGAGATACGATAATGTTAGATGAAAACATTTGGAAAAAAAAAAACTCCTGTATAACGCAAATGAGCAAACAAGAGCCCAAATGGACATCTATATCGAATGAACAAGCTATAACAGCCAAGAATAAAACAGTCATGCCAAGCTAATCAATTCTACCTTTCATTTACTTTAATCCATAGCCTAACTCTTTCAACAATCAAAGCGTTTTGTCCTTTGTGGTTAGACAATTTCTCTTGAAAATATGGAGGGAAATAAACTCCATTTATAATTGATGATTATTCCATGACGGCCATTATTATTAACTATATTTGGAGAATTGAGAGTCATTAGTTGTTACAACTCTATAATGACAAAAATGCTCAAACCTTACAAGAAGTATTGGTTTAATGTGGAAGAAGAGCTTTAGGTAATTCATGGCAAATCATATATTTGTCACACAACATATACTAAAGTTTTCTATGAAAGATATCAGCCCTTCTATGAATAATACTTTCAAAGACGGCAAGATGAACTTGATTATGTCCGGCAAAAAAAAGAGATTTGGTGAAAAGTTATCATTATTTTTTGGGGGGCATTTACATAGTTAGCACACAATTCTTATGTATATACATATCTCACCTCTAACCTTTCATATGTACACACATAGCACTCAAATATTTAACATCACAACAAAAATAACACTTGCCACTTTTGAAAAGTGAAATGCACATTTTTTTATGCATAGGTTTAAAGTACCAAAGTGCCATGCATGTAAATATGAAACTTTAGTTGGAGATATGTAAATACATAATAATTGTGTGCTAGGTATGTAAAAATATTCTCAGACAAGAAGATGAACTTGATTCTCTCTAATAAAAAGAGGTTTGACGATCATCATAATAGAAACTATGTGCTCCCACTAGCAATACAAATATTCACATTATGTAAAAAAAAGATGAAGATCTCAACCTCAATGAATGATTCATTCGTGAGCCAATTGTAAGGTTCTTGCGATAAAAAATGATGATATACGAGTAAAGTGCACATTAATTCCCGTTCCAACCCTTTCCTATACAAAGGGGGTGCATAAATTTTATCTAATCCAATTGCTTCCTACAAGACATTGACCAAGGTAAAGTTTTGGTATGGCCTACAACAATAACAATAAAAATTCATTGGACAATGTTGAAGAGGGTTTGACCAAAATAATGGTTACATGCAAGCACATAATAAAAAGTCTATGGAGCAATTACATATGCAAAGGATACAACAAAACCACAACTTTAATAAGATTTTCTTAAATCGTTGATAGTTGTGGCCATAATGAGCATGCCTCAAGCCACAAGCTCCAATAGGATTCTTCAAAGCCTTCAAATTAATTGTGGTCATGATGGATACAACCCAGAATATTCTTTGATAAGACGAGATCAATCAAAGGAAAAGATAATATGATACAAAACATTACTTCAATATGAATACACTCCTTCGAACAATTGTGGTCAGAAGAGGTATCACCTAAATAACAACTCTCATATTATTTTTCCAAATCTTTTAGATTAACTACGATAATAGGATGCAACATAAACAATAACTCCGATAATATTCTCTATAAGTCCTTAAAACAATTATCAACTACATTTTTAATAAGATCTTTAACAAAACTTTGGAACAACATTGTCATGGTAGGTAAGGCCCAGACCAAAGCTCCAATAGAAAACAAAAAAAAAATCCTTAAAGTAGCTATGTTTAGTGAGGAAAACTTGAACTAAAACAATTAAATGATTTAATAAATTTTAGATCAACTTGATTAAAGGTGGTGCGAACCAAGACATAATTTTGATAAAATGTACTAAAGAACATACAGTCATAGAGAGTATAGCCCAAATCACAATTGAAAGTTCACCTATTTGATTAAACCTACAAAAATATAATTAATTATGACTAATATGTAAACTATTTAGATTACATTTCTCAAAAAAAGTTGTTCATCCATATGATAAAATTAGTCTTACAACAATCAAACATATATATGCAGTTTACTACTAATCGGAAAAAAATATATTTATCGAATCTAATAAAATATAAATTTTAAGATTTATCATCTTTTTTCTTTTTGGAATTATCAATAATATATCCATTAATAATATAAAAGAATTTTATCATCACCCCTGCATACAATAAATCATATTGCATTACTTGTTACTCATATGAATGATATACAAGAAGAAATTCGTTGGAAACTTGCAACAAACTATGATAATTATAATTCTGCTACAAGTATGAATTATGGATACATGTAATTCAAAAAATTAGGCGATAAAGTTATAACCAACCTAAATTCAAAAAGATTTCTTCATGAACCCCTGAAAAATTAAAAGCTAGACAAAGATGATCATATAAAGTTTAGGTAGTGAAAGGGGTCAAAACTTATAGTTTAGAAATTCTAAAAAATTATAATACCAGTCCAATTGTTTGAATGTATTTGAACTGATTTTATATTATTAACCACAACCAATGCCTGGGATTCATCTCTTTCTATCGAAATAAAATCATAAAAAATTTGAAATAGCCATACAAATCTTGTGACTGAATCTATTATTGATTATGAAATTTTATGCACTGCAGCTGGAAGACAAAAAATCCAATTCAATGGCAAGACAGGCCTACAAGATCTTGTATAATAGCTTTTTCCAAAATTTGTGTAATTTCTTGAAAAAATTGCTTAGAATATAAAACTTCATGTATACAGAAATGAGTTTATTACTCCCTAGAGATTGTAAAACATTTGATCACTTCTTTTACAATAATCTGGTGAACTCCGCAAGTGAAAAACACTAGACATTCCAAAATTTCAAACCGATGCTGATAATGTTATTTGATGAAAATAAATATTATATATCTATTTTGGATATATATCCCTCGAATAGATAAAACTTTTGCATCTTATTAAACAAAAAGGAGATAAAATTTTGGGCTATAATTAATTCAATTTCAATAAAAAATCCCCAGATTCCAAAGATCCCTCGGATATGTTTAACCTTCAAATCTTATTTTAAGGTTCATTGATATTGAATCAATTGAATGAATTCTAATATTTGATCAACTTTTGGAAAACTTGAATTTTTCTCATAAATTTAATTAATGCATCTCTTCTCATAAAACTTTAACACTGTCGTTGCCGGTCCCAAGACCGGATGAGAAAAGTAGAGGGTTGCGTTAGGTAGTCGACAGCCAGCGTAAAACTTGTCGAAAAAATCATGACATGAATCCTTTTGATCATTGTGTAAGTGTTAGAGCGTCCCCTGGAAGCGACGCGCTGTATAGCCTGAATACAGTGAAAAGTGTGCAAGGACCGCTACACCGGCGCCCGGGTGTAGTGTTAAATAAGCAAGGGTTCCCACATTACGGGCGAATGCGGGTAAAAAAATTAGTCCATGAAACTAATGAAACTAATATTAGGATAGGATCTTGGAATATAGGCACTCTTAATGGTAAATTAATGGAATTAGTTGATATTATGATTCATAGGAAAATTAATATCTTATGTATTCAAGAAACTAAGTGAGTTGGAGAAAAGGCTAAGAAGATTGATAATTTAGGTTTTAAGCTTTGGTATTCTGGTAAGAGTCGCACTAGAAATGGTGTTGGTGCAATTATAGATAAGAGTTTGAAAGATAATGTTGTAAAAATTAATAGAGTTGGTGATAGAATTATAGCCCTTAAGATTATCATTGATACTAAGATTTTTAATATTATAAGTGTTTATGCTCCTCAAGTAGGTTTAGATACAGAGTCTAAAGATAAATTTTGGAATGACTTAGAAGACTTAATACAAATGATACCTCTTGAAGAAAGAATTTTTATTGGAGGAGATTTAAATGGACATGTCGGTAGAGTGGTAGAAGATTTCAGAAATATTCATGGTGGCTACGGTTTTGGAGTAACTAATGAAGAAGGTAAAGTTATTTTAGATTTTGCTTTAGCGTTTGATTTTGTTATTACTAATACTTTATTCAAGAAAAGGGATGAACATCTTATTACTTATAAGAGTGGATCTAATAAAACACAAATTGATTATTTTCTTATGAGAAGAAGAGATCGTCGCGATTGTAAAGATTGTAAGGTCATTCCAAGTGAAAATTTAAGTTCCCAACATCATTTATTAGTTCTTGATTTTAAGATTAAGAGTTGTAAAATAAAAAATACTAGGACTCATCATTGCAGAATTAGATGGAGAAACTTAAAAGATACAAATAAAATTAATTTTATGAGTAAAATTCAAGATTTCAATATTTGGGATATTCATGAAGAAGCAAATGTGATGTGGGATAAAGTAACAAACGCTATTAAACATGTAGCAAAAGATGTTCTTGGAGAATCAAAAGGAAAAATATTTACAAATAAAAATAGTTGGTGGTGGAATAATAATGTGCAAGAAAAGATAAAATATAAGAAGTTATGTTATAAAAATTGGTTTAAATGCAAAAACTTAGAGGACTGAAAAAAATACCGACCCATACGGAGTCTAAGAGAACAATCTGTGACGCTAAAAATTCTTTTTTAGTGATCTTTATAATAGATTAGATACTAAGGAGGGTGAAAAATATATGTATAAACTAGCCAAACAAAGAGAAAAGAAAAGTAAAGATTTAACTCAAGTAAAGTGTATTAAAGATGAAAATCAAAAAGTACTTTTCTTAGAAAAAGATATTCAACATAGGTGGGTGAGTTACTTTGATAAACTTTTTAATGAAGTTTCTGAAAATACGATCGAACTTAGTGATTTTAATATCGTAAATAATAATAAAACGTTTCATTTTTACCGCCGCATTAGCAAAAAAGAAGTTGAGGAGGCTTTAAAGAAAACAAAGGG